CATCTTCATTTTTTTTCATCCCGACTGTCTAGTTTATGGTTTTCCCCTTCAGCCACACTTAAAGTTCCATTATTGCTTTTTTTGTGTGTCACATTTATTATTCAACTGGATCCAAAAACTTGCATCTTGAGGTCCTGCCTAACACTTTAAGATATCATTGGTTTCTTGCTGTACAATGAGCTAATCAGCCAATTAGTCTGCAAAAAAAATTCTCGCCATAAAAAACTCGTTTTCTCGAACACTCATCCATAGAAGAGACATCATGATTACTTCACTTCAAGTTACATTCAAATCAAACCTGCAGTTGTACTTTTTAAGAGCAGTTTTCTGATTTGCCATTCAGATTGCAGGCAAAGAAAACACTTGAGTTTTTTCCACCATCACTTCTTATTTTGTGTAATACACCAAATGCATTTACCTGCCTTGCTCTCTTTAGTGGCACAAATAAAAATGCTCTTGTAAGTTGACAAGTTTTCTGTCATTTAAATCTAATGTTCTCTTTTATCTATCTACCAAAACAAAGTAAACCAGTATGATTCATTTTGAGAACTCATTGCTGGGTCAAATAAGGTCCAGTTCAGTTTGCTTAGGCACAGCAAGGTTAGATCAGGAGTCATACACAACATACTGGCTTTGGTTTGGTAGCACTAAAGTGTGTCTAAAGGAATATCAGCAATCTGTGTTGGTACTAGGGATGCACGATATTTTCTCATGTATCAGCCGATATTAGCGATAAAGGTAAATATAGGACATCGACCATTCCATCAAAATAACTCACCGATATAAAAGGCATACATATACATATATATATATATATATATATGTATATATATATATATATATATATATATACACATGTATATATATATATAGCACTGTTTTTGTATGACGACCCAGTGTCAAGGTTCCCTGCAGTACAAACACAACGTTATGATGTCACGCGCGCCGTTGAGTTTAGATTAGTGAACATTTACAAATTTGCACTGTTTGAGTGTTGTCATTGTGTTAGAGGGAGTAAATATCATGAATTAATTTGACATTAAATATAATCCAATTTGAAGCGTTACTCCATTTTCAGCCCCCTTTTTGGCATCTGCATTTCGTAGCAGGCCAAATTGACAATGACCATGCAGAATAATGTAGATTTTTAATTCCACAGCAGAGAAAGCTACGTAGTCACTACGAGTAGGGTTAGGAAAATAATATCAGTATTGGTATCGGTAATCGGCCAAATTAGTTTTAACATATCGGCATATCGGATATTGGCCAAAAATCCAATATTGCGCATGCCTAGTTGGTGCTGTTTTCATTTTCTTTCAACTTTTAACAATTGAAATTAATTAAAAGATAACAGTAAAGACTAGCTTGTATTGATTCCAGTTTTTCTTTAAAGAATGTACATCGTCCACTGCTTTGCATACTAAAACTTTCAACAATGATCTGTTGCTGTTAGACTATGGGTTAGGAATGACTTTACCGCAGATTATCTAAAAATCAATGGTTCCCAATCCTGGTCTTTGAGGAACACCATCCTGCATGTTTTTAGTTGTTTCTCTGCTCCAACACACCTGATTCAGTAATTACTTCCTTAATTCGGCAGAAGCCAGTTAATCATCCTTTCATTTAAATCAGATGTGTTGGAACAGAGAAACAACTAAAACATGCAGGGTGGTGTTCCTCAGGGACCAGGGTTGGGAACGACTGATATAAATGACCAAACAAAATAAAAAATATGAGGGGAAAAAGCCTTGGCTTTTAGTCCATCAATCCAGTAATCATTAAGTAAACGCAAGAATGTCACAAATAATTGAGTAGCGCCAACCTCCCCTCTCTTCCCCATAAACACACACTCGTGCAGAGTGTCAGAAGCCATTATTTAGGCTGACACAGGTGGATTTATACCCACAGCTCTCTCCATAATTGAACAGATTTTTCTGTTTCCGTTTCACCCTGCTCAGTCAGCAGCTTTCCAATGAGCCCGTGGGCCTGTCTGTGGCACCTCCTGTTTCTCAGTTTGCTGAGTGCATCTGTGTGTTTGTGTTTTACGCAGGAGTCGGGGAGTCGTGGCCGGCTCCTGTAGCTCAGCGTTGTTCAGCTGGGCCTGTCTAATGATAATACCTCACTGGGCTGTTGGAGACTAGTTAGCATCTCAAAACTGCAAGATAATGGATTAATTTTCCATTTCGGTTCAATTGAGTTCTTTGTGTTTGCAATCAAACTACCAGTGAGCCGTGATGCTTTGAGCGGGCAGTTTTTGAAAGTAACAGCCTATTTTTGTGCACACACGTTCTTGTCCATGCACATTATTTTGTTGTCCACCTCCACCCACGTCATACCTGCCTCGGCTTGCTCTGAACTCACTTTGGCAGCCATCCCCACATTCCTGATTTATTCTGCTGAAGTACCCTTCAGACTTTTATGACCTTTTAAGACCCCAAAGAAACCCTGATTTAGAGCTGAACATGTTTTCTGTTCGAGGAGCGCTCCTGTGTAGGTGTCAAAACCCAGCTCTGGAGCTCTTGAGACGAGTTGGAGACACCCAGGACAAAGTTCAAATGAGTTTGAGATGTTCAAGACGACTCTGTGACCCATGCCAGGAAATTAAGAACCGCTGCAAATGTTGTGAGACTCCCTCATGAAGGCTGTTTGCCAAGTAGTTGCTGCCCAGTGAGATACTACCTTAAAGAACGCCTTGTTTTGTTGTACAGTTTAAATCCACGTAGTAAAAACCTGACTTGGCTCGTGACGCTGTCCGTACAACTGCACTCGTAATCATACTTAAAGTAACTTATTTATATTAATGAAGTGACCTTTACAGTGGCCATAGAGAGGACTCTGAAGGATAGGAAGAAGATGAGGATGACAGATGATGACGCCAGTGAAGAATGGAGATGGGGGGCAGAGCATGGGGGGAGACAATTGCACCAGACAGGTGGAAAAAAAGATGGACATGATCTGTGTGTGGTCACTAATTAGGAAAATGGTCTTACGTGGTGAACAGGGTTCGGGTCTCTTTATGTGTCTTTGTCTCCATGCTCAGCATCTCCCAAGTATGGAAGTGGGAGGAGCTAATTGCTGCAGTAAAGGGCACCAAATTAAAACAGCCTAATGTGTGCAGCATGAAGCTTGTCATTTAGCATTAATATTTATTTTTTATGTATGGATTTTTTTTTTCAAAAGCGGTATTTAATTTTACAAAAACATTCTGCATACTTTCATGGTGAGCACGCTGTACAATCAACTGTGAAGTTATAAACAGCAGCTGAAATGATAAACCCAGAGCTGTGGAGGAATAAAAGTCATTAGGAAAGACTATCAACAGCTGACACTTCACAATCTAAATATCACACACACAGAGATTAATCGTCGTATGACTCATGGAAACATCTCGCCAACCGAGCAAGAGATAAATCTACAGTAGTTTAAAAATTTCTGTCTATATGAGTCTATTTTAAAACACTAAAATGAGACACTTGGACAAACAAAGCTGAGCTGAAAGGTTCAGTGACAAACGTGAGATCAGAAAAAGGAGGAAAAGAAACACAAACTATGCAAGAAGAGAATCTGAGACAAGGACAGCAAAAGCAAAGAGTGAGTAGAAATCAAAATACGGCTCTAGTGACAGAAGGAGAGCGAGCGAGGGAGTTATGAAGAAGAAAATTGCTGTTGTGGTAAAACAAAAACAACATTACTGTAGATAGGATTTCACTTTTCTGCCTCCCCTACCACAGAGGCATACGAAGCGTGATCGTTTGAGCGAGAGAGTTCAAATATGTGTTTGTGTAGCTTCTTTATTTTTTGTTTCTGGGAGCGGTGGAAAGAAGAGCTGAAAGCAATCCCATGTACGTTGAGGACAGACAAATTGGGTGTGCATAGCAAAAAGTTAGACGTGAAAAAGGAGGAGATAAAAAGCACGAGAGGAGTGAAAGAGGTGAAGAAAGAAGCAGCTTCTGAGACTAATTTGTGCAAAGTTGTGAGGTATTTGAGCCACACAGCTCAGTAAAATATTTTACTGAATTACTTCAGCATCTTGACACATGAAGCAGGGACTTTAAAGACTTTTGACTAACAATAGAAACATAAAATTAGAACTAGAGGTTGCAGGGTTACGATGAGACTTAGATACTGTCATATTTGTGTGTGAAGATTTCTCTGTGCTGATTAGCTTCAGTTTGATATAATCCTTGATGCCCAGTGGGCGCTTCAACATCAGCATTTGTTGTCACAGCATTAGTATGTTGTATATGTTTGTACGTTCCAAGCCCGCTTTTAATACATTTATACAATCGTTGGCATGATGCTCCTTTTTGTTTATAGTTATTAAATGTAAATGTCCCTGTGGTTCATTTTACATTAAGACAATGACACTGTGAGAAATGAGAAATGCATTAAATCATCAGTAATGTCAACATTGTAAACATTGCAGCATCACTCTGCACCAACACCAGAATTTAAACTTAGGTCTTGTTATCCGGAGCATAAATGTAAAAATAAAAAAAATCAGTTTCCATAAATGTTTATGGAGCAGTTACTGTTAAAATAGCAGTTATTGTGTTTTTAGGGAGGTTTCAGTTCTGCTGTTAACACGAGTGCATCCTGAATGGTAATAAACATTTTCCCAACTTAGCATCAATAAAACCCGAGAAAAAAATGTAAATTTGCATTAACGGGCTTTTATGTTCACTTTTAAGACACAAAGCAAAGAGAAAAACTTTCTGATAACTTTTGAAATCTTGCCCCATCTATATAGTTTTTGGCTGATTATTAGTCATTTAACCATCACTGTTTGGACACAATTTTAGCTACAACTTCCAAAAAGTCTTATTCTCTTTTGAGCTCAAAGGTCCAGATTTTAAAGTAAAATATGTTTAACACTTTAGTACATTTTACAAAGTAGTTTGTCAAAAAGATTTGAATAAAACAATACCTGGGAAAAAAAGACTAACAAAGTTAATTCTTGTTCTGTGTTTAAGTTTTACTTCTTTATTTTTTCCTGTCAGAAATCACCACTCTACCCGACACGGTGACCCCCACAACTCCCAGAGTGGAACAGACAACCTCTGCAATGAGACCAGGTGAGCACACCGATGCTTTCTAGCATCTCCGCTCTAACAAATGCAGATTTCTTACAAGCCCTTATATTTTGGGGGGCATGTCTCACATCCACACACACCCACGCTCTTAAGGTCAAAGTCATGATGTCACTGCGCACCACGGGGCCTCTGGGCTTTGAAGTCTGTTACATTCAAGAGTCCCGCAGGAAGCTGTGTTTGAGGAAAAATAAGCTCTCGCAGCCAGAGGATCTTAACCTCCTCATACACTCAGACACACACTGGGAATATGATTTCACAGCTATAGGTCAACTGACTGTCAGGCAAGAAGTCTCGCTGGAGTTTAAGTGTAGCAGTTGTGGTTAAACGCAGTTTATATCATTTCATTTCCCATCTTTCTTTTACTTCTCGATTTAAACTTCCCGCCAGTACTACAGTACTCCCTTTGAAAAAAAGGGAAAAATATGTTTTATTCATTAGAAAAGAAATATTAATTCAGTTCAGTGAAAACAGATTACCGTATTTTCCGGCCTATAAGTCACACATTTTTGCCCAATTTGCATACCCTGTGACTTATACGCCAAAGCAACTTATTTATGTTTTTTATTCCCATATTTATAACCCAATTTTTGACTGAGATATGATCGTTTTCGTTCATTCTGACATGAAAAATATTGAACACGTCCCTCTGCGTGCTCCTGCTTCAGCGTATCGGCTTTTGAAACGCAGCTGATTTGATCGTCAAAGTTCATTTATTAAGGAAAAGTTCAACTGAAACACAACTTTGTTAGGATTTCAAGCAAACAAATAATTATTTTTAAGTGTTAATCTTGTTAAATTCTTGTTAAAGTCATCCCGTGCATGATCCCGCAACTGCCATTTGGCAACCAATCAATTTTTGGCACAACACCGGCCCACATCTCCGGGTTTTCTGCTGTGATGCGTAACAAACGCGATATGGCAGCGGTGATGCGTAATAGATGCGATTATACGGCAAATCGACATATTTATGGATTTTTCCACTTTATTGGACATATTTGGACTGATGCGACGTATACGGCGGAACATACGGTAACTCTTATATTTCTGATCTTTATTTTTTTTACTCCCAGCCACTTCGCCGTCGCTGTCAGCTGTGTGTGACTTCGAGCAGAGCTTGTGCGGGTGGTCCGCAGACCCCCACTCTGGTGTGAGCTGGTCCCTGCACACAGCCAGCAGCGGGTCAACTGGACACGGCACACATGGAACGTGGCAGGACATGACACTGGGCTCAGACAGTAAGAACATCTACTACTCTAATAATACCAAGCAGAACACCACGTACATGGCTTTCTGTGATATTATTTATTTAACCAAGTACATGGTACAGTATCTTCTGGTTTGCGGTGCTGACGTGGATTACTGCAGCAGAAAGCTGTAATTTATAGTATATGACGGCACTTCTTTTAACGTTATTCTGTGGTCTGAGGCTCAGTGCTTCATGTCATCATGGCCAATATGGGTTTGGACCTATACACACAGCTCTGCTAACTAATCATTGACTTGTTTTAGCTGTATCACCAAATGAGCCAAAATCTCTACACAGCCGACCCATCCGATTCACTATTTAAAAATTTATTTTTCTTCTAGATTCCTGCAGATGTGGACTCATTTTGCAAAACAAAACTGAGAATAATTGGTATTAGTGACTTCTGGTTTTACTGTCCTCCAGCTCAAACAACAGTAAAAATTATTATTGACTTTAAATTTATATATATATTTTTTTTCACCAATCAAAACCATATGTCAAGTCAAATTTATTTATAAAGCACATTTAAAAACAGCGGTTGTTACCAAAGTGCTTACCAGGATAGATAGATAGATAGATAGATAGATAGATAGATAGATAGATAGATAGATAGATAGATAGATAGATAGATAGATAGATAGATAGATAGATAGATAGATAGATAGATAGATAGATAGATAGATAGATAGATAGATAGATAGATAGATAGATAGATAGATAGATAGATAGATAGATAGATTCGATAGCATCTAATTATACAAAAAAAGAAGCAGAATTCACAATTTTGGAAAAAGACAATATAACATCACCCCTTCAAATGATGGCTGCTTTTCCGTGTTGTTGTTGTCCAGTTTGAACAAAGATGTTTGAAATTAGGATGACTAATAGTTTCTGGACATCATGTCTTCAAAGACATAAAATTAAAATATTCAGTTATTGATTTATTTTATGGAACAGTATTTCCCTCAAAGTTGTTGCAAAGTGGTTTCTTCAGCTTATCTTAAACTCTTGTCACTTTCTTGTTCGCATCTCCAACCCACCTCAAGAGAACTACATCTGTATTTTGACACCTCTGGGCAGCTACAATGTACGCAAATAAGCACATACATTTATTGTACGTGATTCAGGATGTTAATTTGTAAGCCAAGCATATGAATAAAGGCTGTCATAAAAAAAAAATAGCAGTAAAAAAAAAAAAAAAAACCCAGCAGCACAGCTCACTGGTCGCTTGGTTCCAAATACTCAAAATTCAGTAATACTGCAACTAAAAATATGCCTATTTTACTAAAATTTTGCACTGTTTCGAGTTGCCGACTATCCTCAAACAATTGCAGAGATGGACTACTTAAAAAAAGCAACCTATTAATATGTAAATTTTATATTTGTAATTTTACATTTACATTAAACTAAAAATATGCATATTTTCTCTGCATTTGCCAGAAGGTCACTAAAATACATCATAATGCAACATTTAATTTTATTTATTCATTTATTTTTTTTAATGAACGTAAACAATCAGTTTAGCAATCAGCTAAAATTACCGTATTTTTCGGACTATAAGGCGCATTTAAAATCCTTGAATTTTCTCAAAAATTGACAGTGAGCCTTATAATCCAGTGCACCTTATGTATTAATTCTGGTTGTGCTTATTGAACTCGAACCAATTTTATTTGGTACACGGCGCTCAAAAATCTGTCCAAATAAATTGATTTTGCTTAATGTGCAATCCGGTGCACCTAATGTATGAAAACAGACTCGTTCGTTGATATTGTGCCTTATAGTCCAAAAAATACGGTAGCACTGGCTGCTCAAATGTTGACAAAAAGCATGTGCACCCAAAGAAACAGGGAAATTGGTGGCGTATCTTTGTGTCACAGAGTTGCTCTGCAAAACTTTACCCAACAGACTTTCCATCTTTGAAAACTTCCACAGGGTCAGAACCCATTCAAAAGATTTATTGACTCTCCACTTAAACATCCAATGTTTCTGAAAGCTGCCTGCACCAGTTTGTCTCTCCAGATATTCCTCATTTTAACAAGTATCTCATCTTTCGAACAAGGAAAAGAAAGCACTGTCATGTTGAGATTTCGACCTTCCTCAGCACAAAGCCTTCTTGAGCTAATTAACAACAAAGCATTTGTCTTGTGGTGGGATATTTTACATCCCGGCGCTGCGAGGAACCACTGGAAGCAACCGTGATGCAAGGATTTTACTCTGATCTGAGAAGACTGTGTGTACGGTCTTAATTAGAGTTTAGGGAAAAATATGCTAGGTTTAACAGTTTCACTTTCTGTAACCTAGTTTACTGAGTTTACTCTTCTTTCCTCCATATTTTCTTCTATTCCAAAGAGCTCAACTTATTTGATTTCCTTCATGAAATTTTAGTGCTCTTCTCTTCTTCAATCATCTTTGTTCCTCATAATGATCTTGCTTCAATGTCCATCTTTACCCTTTCTCTGCCTTTTTTCTTTTAATCTGTCATCAATTTTATTTTCCACGAATGTCTTTTGTTCTCAGTCCTCGCCATCTCATTTTTCCTTCTTCCCCTTACGGCCCCATGCCTCGTTCAATCCATCCCTCCTTTATAAGTCGTTCACCTCTTTCTCAACTCCTTCGTATAATTTTTGCATTTTCCCGCCACATTCCACCTCCAGCCCTCTCACTCCATCAGTCTGATAGCTCCATTCTCTCCTCGCTGACCTCTCTTCCATTTCCCTCAGTGGTACTTCCCCTTTTTCCACATCTGTGCATCTTTAATAAAAGAGCGGGACTGTTTTATTAATCAAACGTTCCCGGTGCCTCTCCAACACACACACACACATACATTATTATTATTAAGTTACACATCCACACGGTGCACACACAGAGCCCCGAGCGGTCAGATAAGTTAGAAGATGGCTTCGGCAGAAGTAGCTCTCACCGAGGCTCCACACACACACACCCTTAAACACTACAACTTAAGGTGGGACTCCTTATGTTTAAGACTCGAGGCATGTGTGTGTGTTTTTTTTCCACACGCCCACTTGACCTTGCCATGCAGCAAGGTTTTCCTTGTATCTGTTGAAACCATCAGGTTTCTGGTTGACTGAGCAGCTCCTCGGTAAACAGGCGGGGCCGTGACATAAGGCAAAGCTCCGCTGCATGTCTCTCCAAACTGCACTGAGAGTGTGTGCGTTCAAACATTTTCTGTGTCGATGGGAAATTGACTTAGCGGCGTCCCTGTCTCCATGTTTGACAGCAACATGACATTAAGTCTTGTTCTACAGTGGCATTAACGTGGCACCCGGTCTGCAAGCTGTCTGCGTATGCAAATCAACACGGGAGCTCCTTTTTTAGAGGTTTCAAAGATAAATGTCGGCCCAAACAGAGCTCGTGAGATTTTATTTTGGTCTTAGACTAAAGATCCTCACTCAGTGAGATTTTACAGTAAGGCAAAGTTTAACAGTACAAGTTATGAGTTGTATAGTTACTGATAAGTAAAGCAAGTGTTGAAAGATGACAAAGTGACTTAGACTCTTAACAGTGATAACAACTAAGCTGTGTCTTTGGTGACGCTTTGTTGAAAATTTAACGTCATACAACAGTTCCTGAAAAGCACAAAAAAGTTGGATCCAACTCGTATTTTTAATTATTTTGTGTCCACTGAATCACTATTTCTTGTCATTCCAACAAAGTTCAGTCAGGTCATCTGGACAGTTTCTTTTATTTTGTCGAGACGTTTCGTCCTTCATCCAAAGAACTTCATCAGTTTGAGGAGCCACAACAAACTGAGTCCCACAAGCAGCAACCCCAAACCCATTGGGCGGGCCCCAGAAACCATCTTATCACCATTAAACTGTTTGGCCCACTATTGGGTGTGCTGCTTTGTCAGACTTTGAGTTTGAGAGTTTAAGAGTTTGTTGTGGCTCCTCAGAGTGATGAAGTCCTTTGGATGAAGGCCGAAATGTCTCAATAAAAAAGGAACTATCCAGATGACCTGAGTGAACTTTGTTGAATTTTATACCTGGATTATTGAGCATGAACTTCGATCTTGTAATTGTTAACAGTGATGATGGTCATTAGTTCTTGAGGCTTTCTGAAAGCCTTACATTTTTCTTTTGGACTTTGGCTGCTTCATTTTTTAGCTTAAGTCCCTGATTATGCATTCAATTCCTCTTAAACTAAAGGGATAAACCAGTGTCATGTTGATATATATTAAACAATTAGACAAAAACAATTTAAAATTGGATATTTTAAACCTTTTTTTACCAGCAGTCTGTCACAAATACATAATTGGCTTTTATTTCTTTAACTGAATATATAACAATCAAACCTAACACAGCTTGGCAGAAATGAAATACAATTTTTGCATCAACAAGGTAATTCCCAAAGAGCTATTAAATGAAAACTTCATGTAAACTATGTGACAAATTAAAGGTATTGTTTATTTGATTTCAATAGATCATCTTAATCCCCCAAATTTAGTGTTTCATGACCCAAAGACGGGTCCTAACCTCAACTTTGATAATTACTGTTTTAACAACTTGACTTTCAGATACTGTTGATCTTCTTTATACAGTTTATTAAGACTGGCCAGTATTCAAATTTTTAATCATATGCTTCACTGTGGCCTGGCCAGGATAACAGACAAAAAAAAGTAAATTAATATCAAATGCCCAGAGAAATAATTTATTACCCTCATAAAGCCTCGAGAAATATTGATCAAAGCCACTTAAAATGAGAAAAATGTGTCCATTTTGAAACACAATATAAAGAATTAACCTGCGGATTTGAACTTGTACACTGTTAAGATAAACATATTTTGAAGATGCAAGCACTGTGTATCTTCACAACAAAACTAACTGAAGTACACAATGACTGACAGATAAACTTACACACAAAAACCAGTGTAAAGATAAAAACAGAGTAAAACTCAGGCTAATGCTCATGTACAAAGACAACACAGAGACATGCATATTTCTTTTCTCCCTGCCTCCATCCCTCAGAGCCAATTTTGCATCCCTGCCTATTCCTCCCATGGAGGGTTGTTAATTAATTCCATCCCTTTGTACGTTTGCCAAGATCAAACGGGGAACGGCAGAAAAACACTGCAACTTTTCCCTAAGTGTACTTAATGAGCAACGGTAATTTAGGTCCCCCTTCTCTTAGTGCCTCCAAGAGAAGAGCTGAGGTACCTCAACCCAGATGCATTATTTATCAAGCATGAATACAGCAAAATCTGTCCGTTTTTCTTCCTGTTAAAACTTGAGAGGAGGATGGATGGATGGATGGATGGATGGATGGATGGATGGATGGATGGA